AGAGAGAGAGAGAGAGAGAGAGAGAGAGAGAGAGAGAGAGAGAGAGAGAGAGAGAGAGAGAGAGAGAGAGAGAGACTTGGGTACTATTTGAGGAGTGAACTTCCAGACTCGGACTTGACAGCTGGAGTGAGACTATAGTGGGACTTTGGCGAGGGACCTTTATTATTTGGCTGATACACTTGTTTGCAACGAGGGATCTTTCTTCCATGTATGTCGCCTCCTTGCCTAACTCATGTGTGCTGATGTGTGTTTGTGTCGAGTCCAGAGTCTGACGAGTCAGATTGGTTCTTTTCAGTCTGCTGATACTGTGCGCTGTTGTTTTCCCTGACTTTGGTGATTCTTGCCTGCGTGATTGCTACCTTTGTTTAGGCATGCGACATGATGACTGTATCGGACTGGAAAGGTAGCTTGTATGCATTTGAGGACACAAAAAATGCATACGAGGCAGTCATGATGAGGGTTGGTGTTTGGGGGTAAATTCAAACATTGCAGAGAAGATTATAGCATTGCCCTCGTGCAAGGATGACACCCACCAATCTAGAAATGGTATAGAAATGAAAGAAAACAAAAGCGAAGACATGTAAGCTACCTATTCGACAATGCCACACACCCTCACGAGGAAAAGGAGTCCTTATCCAGGGAGAGAGAAAGGGGGTTGGCTCGTGAAGTACCTATTTCTCCCCTCTCTCTCGTTCCCTCAAAGTGGACAAGGGATGTTTCAGGTCCGACACAGTCATGCATGCAGCTCACTCCGGCTACTCTTCCCTGTCTTCCTCAGCCACCTCCTCCTTGTCCCTCTGCTGTGCTGTCACCTCCTCCGCCTCCCCCCCCTTGTTCTCTGCCGCCTCCTCTCCGTCCTGCTTTCCCATCCTCCTCCTCCTCCACCCGCTCCTCCTCCGGTGTGTTCTCCTTTTCCACCTCGACCTACTCCCCCTCTCCCTCCTCCACCATGTCTTTCTCCTCCTGCTCACGCTTTCTTCCCGCTACCCCCCTTCTTCCTCTGCAATCAGTGCAGCCCAGTAAAAAAAAAAGGAAACAGATGCACAACAAAAAGTCCACCTCCTGATTTCAGAGTATGTACCTCTCTCTAGTCGACATTCCACACGAATGTGGACTGACCGGTGGCCATACCAGACAAGAAAAAAAGCACAAGGCCAAAGTTAGGCACAACACGACCCTTGGCACTCCTAGGTGGTACTGTGGCTGGAGAAAATGCCAATTCACTTGATCGTAGACTTTTTCAAAATCGGAGAATAGAATGGCCGCCTGCATTCATTGTTTAGTAGCCTTCCTTGCTGCCTCATTCAGGGTCATCACATTGTCTAGTATGTATCTACCTGGAATGAACCCCGCTTGATCGATGTGGAAGAACTTATCGGTGAGCTTTATGATCCTGTTAGCTAGTGCTTTTGCCAGTATTTTGTAAGGGGTTGTGAGTAGTGAAATTGGTCTGTAGTTTTTTAGGTCCTCTTTGTCGCCTTTCTTGTGGAGTAACGAGACCACCCTGGTGCTTAGGAATGAACCCAACCCTCCCTTCGCTTTGCTGTCGTTGATAAAATTGACGAGGTTGTCCCCTAGGATAGGCCAAAACTGAACCCAGAACTCTTTGGAGAGGCCATCAATCCCTGGTGCCTTGTCATTTCCCATCTGTGATAAAGACGCTTGGAGTTGCCCTAGGGTGATTATTTTTTCCAAGCCCTCTGACTGTTCTGATGAGATCGTCCTGTCTAGGTAAGACATCATTTGCTGATGGGCTGTTATGTTTATCATGGATGGGGGTGAGGGTGTTTTGGATTCGTAGAGGGCTGCATAAGAGGATCTGGCAATCCTTACCATGTCTAGGCCAGCTGTTTTTGTTCTCCTCTGATCTGATGGGTCTTTCAGCTTCTTTATCGTGTTGTTCCTAGCATTGGCATTTATTTTGGCGGAGCAGAACTTAGTCATAGATTCGTTCAGAGTGTAGTCACTCATCCTGGCTTGTAATTGTAGGCCTCTTAGTTCCCATCTCCTCCCTTCGTTAAGCTCTTCCTTGGAGGCTTTGAGTAGGTCGTAGTAGAACATGTTGGTGGGGTCCGATATGAGATTAGCCTCTGCAATTGTGATAGCAATTTGAAGTTCTTCCTTTCTGATTTTGCGTTCAGCCGCTATGCTTCTTAATACGGCCGACACCGAGCATTCTGTAGTTTGTTCTCATCAGAGTTTGCTATTTTCTCACAGAAATTTTTGCCGTTTTTCATAATATGTTGCCAATGCTGCTCTGACAAAATTGCTGGACTGTTTGCTGCTGGTCGTCAGCAATATGCTTACAATTGATATTATCAGAATAGTCATATTCAATGTATAATGATAATGACAAGCAAATCCCATGCATGCAGGAGCTCGAAGTCTGTGGAGTTCGTGGTGCAGGTGGTGATCCCGGCGAATCCTGATGGTGGATGCAGGACAGACTACACCGACCACTTCAATAAGGGGATGGGCAAGTAAGCTGCAAGTTTTTCCTCTTACATTTGGCCACTATTTTTTGTTTTTAAAGACGTTTCTATGCGGTGTGGCTGACTGCCTCCGTTCTGACTTCAGGGCAGTCCGGAGTCTCTGCATTTTGTTCTTGCTTGGGATGAGTCGACTGCTCCTACTTCTTGAAACGCATTGGGAAGCTGACAACGTTCCTGGGGAAGTTAGGCTGAACGAAGAAATTGCAGTAACCCGTTCGTTATGCCTCGTAACCTAAGGGCCCGGGCCCGAAGCCGGCCTAAGCCGCATTACAACGAGGCAGGACCCCAAATGTTTGGATCCAGGGGCCCTGCGCCAAACAGTTGACCGAAAGTGAACTGTACACGGCCCTCAGTCCAAGTCGTCGTGGACCCAGCCCAGGCCGCCGGTCAGACATGCACTTGTTTGTATGCAGGTACCAAGACAGCATTCAGGCCAAGTAGAGTCTGCAACTGTATGGGATCCAGGCCGTAGGCTGTGAGTCGCTCTCAGACACCGTGGGTGCCGTGGGTGGGAGACCTGAGGCACGTCAACCCGGTCAAATGCTACATAAGGCCCTGCCTCCAGGGAGTCAACATTCAGTCTTGCTATGCTGACTTGACGCTAGCTGGGCTTGACGCTGGCTGGACGCTGGCTTGCCCCTGGCTTGCCGGTGGCTGTACGCTGGCACTGTGGTGGACGGATCGAGACTGCTGCTTGCATGATGGTGCCTTCCTGCTTTGGCGCCAGCCTCTGCTGGCGTGGTGCAAGCCATGCTGTCTTCAACATTGCTGATGTGGTGCATGCCACACTGTCTCCATAGCTGATGTGGCATTGGCCACACTGTTTTCATTGCTGAGTTGGACGCTGCAAGGAGGGAGATCGGGAGCTGTGGATGATTGAGAGAGAGAGAGAGGATACTTACCTTCTGTTGATGTCGGCACTGTGTGCTGCTGAACGTGTTCACTGGTGAACTGTGCCACGTGGCACTTTTGATGTGATCAGGCCCTGTCAGGCTCGTTATTGGACACTGTTGCTGACGTGGAGGCGAGGGGGAAGCCCGGAGAAGGAGAGGGAAGGCTACTATCTCTGTGGTCATTGATGGATATCTCTTCCACCCTCTAATCTGTCTATTCCCCCCTCTCCTCTCTACGAGACATTGTACTACAGATCACATTTATGATTATTGGAGACATTATTCAGTGATGAGTTTTCTTGTATTTCGACACGAGTATCCTCACGACTGGGTTCATTACAAAATGAAGAAGTAAATAAGAAAGAAAGGCCAATTAAGATCAAAGGAAGTACAGTTAACTAATGACTGAAATAGGTGCGGAATTGCAAACTTCATAAACCAATCACACTTTCAGTTTGTGAGCACGATACTTCCAATGTTAGGTCAAATGTATTCCACTGATGCGGCTGATGAGAGAAACCACCGCTTCATCCGGACCTATTTGGACAAACCAAAAGTTGGAGTGGTGCTACTGTGAGGAACAATTATGGTGGTACGATTCCCCAACGAACCTCTAGTGGGCATTTGGATGGGTGGTCGCTGACAGGCTGCTATAACGCTAGGTCGACAAGCAGCAGAAAGAGGGACGATTGTGCAGTCGCCTGCACCACAGCAGTGGGTGTTGTAAGGGAAGCGGTATGCCATAGCTTGTTGGGTGCCATGTGCAGTAGTGGAGCTGGTTGGATAGAGGTGGTTCGTGAGGAAGGCCATAGGACAAGTTGGCAGACAGTTACAAGGGAGAGCCCTGAGCAGGGTCAGTCTCTTCAAACCATAATCGGCACCACTGGACATAGCTTATTGGCATTGTGAATTAGATTAGACATGATTCGGGAACTACTACTCTGTTGTCGCATTAGCTTGATGGAGGCGAGAAGAGGGCTTTAAAACGCCAGTACACGGCCCCAGCCTTGCTGAAAAGAAAACTCGTCGCCTACAAATTTTTCGGAGGCCCAGCTCCGTAGATAAATCGAATCGGTGGCGGGCAGCCTCTGAAAAGGGCCCGCGGCCGATAGCTGGATGTACTGGTGGTTTAATAACCAAGAGACTTCAGTGTGTTGTGCATTATCGTATTGATGTGATCTCGTCCTTTCCAATTCTGCTATCGGTTTGGTCTACTCATGCGTGCTGATCAAAAGTTTGTGTCACTCATCATTTGAGTTCTCACAATCAGGTTCCTTGCACCACTGACAGCTTTTGGAAAAAAAAAAAAATTGTGCGGACTTTTTGACTCGCCCGGTTACCTGGGCAGGTGGGCCCGGGTGGCCCAGTGGGGCAGCTGGGGCTGGGCAACTCAGGTAGCCTAGGTTCTCCTCAAATGGAGTACTGTGGTTGTGCTTCCTGAATTTTGGTCAGTGGAATGCCCGTTTTTCTTTTTCTTTTTTAAATGAACTGAGCCAAGTACTCGTCAAGCTCAACCTCGCATACATCAATGAACATTCACATGACAGTTCACACGTGAGAAGCCAGATCATGTTTGCCCCCAGCAGCTCTGCGCGCGCGCGCACACACACACACACACAACGGATCGCGATCAGGTGGTGGCTATGGCTTCTGTCCCTTCTCTCTCTCTCTCTTCACCTTGCTTCTCTCTCTGACTTGACTCGCTCTGCGTTACTCCCTCTCTCTCTAACCTAGATCGTCACCCTGGATACACCCACTCAGGTATGCTTACACCTTGGCGGCTATGGCCGATGTCCTGCTCTGCCCTTAACCTAGCTATGGAGTAACTTGCGAGCACCCTCTTCTTCTTCGGGCGCGCTGTCGCATACTCGTGAAACACAGTCGTATGGCGCAGATTCCCAGAACCGACCAGATAATACAGAGTTAATACAAATACAAATACAGCGGAAGACTTGATACACCTGGACTGACTCTGACCTGACTCAGACTGCAACGAACCACTCTCAACATGCATCAGTGGTGTGAAAGCCTTGGCCTTGGACACGGAAGAACAGGCCAGGGTCTGAGATCATACACGGATGAATGGAGGGAGAGGAGAGACGGAAGGAGGAGGAGAGGGAAAATGATGTCAGCACCATGGATCCAAAAATAGTATCTCGAAAGTCATAAGCAGCGCAAATCCGGAATGTCGTGAATACAGAATCTCACAGTGTCCCAGATGTCGATCTCCCAATATCAAGATACATCTCTAGAAGTAGATGAAGTCGGATCCCAGAAGTAGTCCTCGACCAATGTCTCAATGTTACTATCTCAACTGTCATCAGAACTCGTCGCCATCCTTCGTATGGTCCAGTAGAGTAGACTTAAACCTAGAGGGTAAGAGGGAAGGGAGAGAGAGAGAGAGAGAGAGAGAGAGAGAGAGAGAGAGAGAGAGAGAGAGAGAGTGATGGAGGGAGAAGAGGGAGGAAAGGCAGGGCCTTGCTCCCGATACCTGTGAGGCAGCTATGGCGCTGCAGGCAGGCGCTGGGCCGGAGGCTGGCGTTCTCGCACTGCTGCGCTATTCTGCTGCTGCTGCGCTAATCTCTCCTCAACCGCTGCGCTGATTCTCTCCACGCTCTGTTGCTAACGCTGATGTGCTGCGCTAATTCTGACGACTAACCTCCTCAACACTAACCTACCTGACTGAGGCTGGTACCCAGCTTACATAGTGCTGGGTCGGCCTCAGTCCTACTGAGTGCCTTCGGGTCTGGACCGTTGATCGGGCTCAAAGGTTCAGATCCGATTTCGAAATCTGAAACAGTGGCGCCTAAACTGCGCCGCCGGCCGGTCCTACCGATGGACCGGTACGTGGCCTCACCAACTAGCCATTGGGTCTGGTGGGGTCTAAACGAGGCCTACCGGACCCTAAACTGAACCGGCGGTTCCTAGGTCTACCTGGACCTATCTGGGACCGTCGTGACCCGGTACCTAGGCCTAAACCGTGCCTACTACAGAACCGGGCCCTAATTGGGCCCCGTGTGGTATCAGTATGCCACACACTCCCCGGTACCTGCAACGGGTCATCTAGTTGACCTTTTGCCTCTACTATTTGGAACATCACTGGCCTGCTCCCCACCATTTTCATTTGCTGAAGCGTCCCTCTGGTTTAAGCTAAAGCAAAATTTAATTAAACCCCTGTAAATCTGAGAATCTCTGGGAGAGACTCCGGAATAGAGTTTCAGCCCGGCTCTCAGATCTGCAGACCAGATCTGTCCATATTATTTTTGTTTGTTCTTTCGTATCGTTTCGGGAGGTGGAGAAAACATGTTGAAGTTGGCCTTAAGTAGGGGCGTGACAGGCAAAAACAAGCCCCAGTCCGCTGTTGGCTGCTGAGGACCCCTGAACCAGGCACTGTGAGTGACAGACGCCGTTGCCTCGGGCTTCAGCAACGAACAGGCACTCCCTCCCCGGGTTTCCTCACATCGTCGCGTCGAGTCTTGGGTCGCACGCCTGTCTGTACCGGTAATTGGGCACAGCCGGTTTGTTTTACGAGCGGCCGCTGCTCATTGCCCGTGCTCCCTTCCAGGTCTGGGGATACCTCCAGCTGCCGAGTTGCTACCCTAGACCGACCTACATCACACACAAAACTTTCACTCTCACGGAATTAGGGTCCCACTGGGTACCTATGCCCCAGGTAGGCCGGCAATCCTAACCACTTCCCCCACAAGGGGCAGGAGCCTTTTCTCCAGGAGAGATCGGTCTCTGACTCACCAAGCAACAGGCAGATCAAGTGTGACTGCTAACTCGAATGACAAGATGACATCAACAGAAATCAACTTGCAGCAGAGGTCTCCAGGAAAATATGTGGGAAGGTGCCATTTACAACAAAATTCAAATTGCATAAACGACAGGGCCAGCGCAAAGAAGCACGCTCCTTGAACGTTCCGTCGATGAAGCTCCTCCATCGCAGGTGAGTACGCTTGCTCCTTGCTGTGCCCCTTATTCTTTGGCCCTCAACATGCAGTCAACCCTATTTTTTTTATTTTTATTTTCCTGCCGGCTTTCTACCTTGCCAGCGCCTCAACTGTGAGCGGATGCAGCAGGAACCAGCTCTGATACCACTGAAATGGGCCAAGTACTCGTCGAGTTCAACCTCACATACATCAATGAACATTCACATGAGAGCGTGAGAAGCCAAATCGAGATACAATCAACACTTGAAGATGTCGTCTCCAATATTATTATCAATAAACAAGAATGCTAGTCTCCAGTGGCTCTGCCGCACACACACACACAACGGATTGCAATCAGGTGGCGGCTATGGCTTCTTTCCCCTCTCTCTCTCTCTCTCTCTCTCTCTCTCTCTCTCTCTCTCTCTCTCTCTCTCTCTCTCTCTCTCTTCGCCTTGCTTCTCTCTCTGACTTGGCTCGCTCTGCCTTACTCCCTCTCTCTCTAACCAAGATCGTCACCCTGGATACACCCACTGAGGTATGCTTACACCTTGGAGGCTATGGCCGCTGTCCTCCTTCGCTACCCCTAACCTAGCTATGGAGTAACTTGTGAGCGCCCTCTTCTTCTTCGGGCGCGCAGTGCCCAAGTTGCCTTAACGCACAAGCAGCAGCAGCACTTCCGCATCGTGCAACTGAACAAGTGATGAGCGGCTGCACTGTAGTAGCTAATATAGGACTTGGTTTCGATTGGCGTGGTCTGCTTCAGATCAGTACCGGTTGGCTGCGGCCTGTCTGCTGCAAACATTTTGTCAGTCTGGTAGCTTCTGGACTTTCCTGGGACATGCTGCAAAATTGGACTTGGGACTGTCGGACTGGACTGGACGCTTCTGGACTTTTCTTGTCGGGTACCGGACGGACTCCTACCCAGCTACGATGCTTCGGTACAGACACCTACGGATCTAAGACACATCGGTACCGACAACTACCGACCTACGACACTTTGGCCTCTAGACCCTATGGCCTACCGTACGGGACAGCCCTGGGACTTCGGACTTGTCGGGACCCTGGGACTGGGACTGGGTGTCTGCAGCATGAATCAGTTCATGAAGGAGGTAGCCTCTGGCATGATTGAATTTGTCTGATTTTATCAGGAGTTGAGCTCATGATCTGTTTACAGATAGTTACATGTCTGTAATATTCAGCCACATGGGCCGGTGGCATGGGGTTTGGTTTTCACTTTTTGCTCTTGTATTATGCTTTGTAATGTCTCCTTGTGCTTGCTCCTGCTTTTTTCCATGTGTACAGAACTGATAAGTTTGCAGGGGAGTGGGACGATCATAATCCAGATCCAGGTGGCAAGCCTTTTGCTAGAAGGCAATTTGCTGATGATCACAACATCAAAGACTCCACCAAAGCATTCCAACAGACACATGTCTCGCTGTCGCAGTATCTCTGTGAGCTTGGGAATGATGGTGATGACAGCTCAATGTGCTTCGACCATGCAGCATTTCATGATTTGAACCATCATAAGGGCTCTTTTGGAATGGAAGAGGAGAGCAGGGGGAACATAGGTTATCCTTCCCATCAGCATGTTTCTGGGCAAGCAGACAGCAACGGTATTGCTAAAGGCTCAGGATTAGATGCCCTGCTGACTGTGCTGCCTGACTTCAAGTTCGCTGACGCAACTTCTGACAAGAGGGCATGGCTGGGGAAGCTGCAGTATGCAGTTTGTCAGTTTTTCGACAGAGAGGGATCAGAGCAAGCGAGTGATGACCTCAAGGGAAGTTCATATCAGATGAATTTAGGTGTTGAGCTGGAGTCAAATGAGGAGGCTGAACTGAGAATGGAAAGTAGTTCTCAGTGGGATCCCTCCTATAGGCGGCCAGATACAGAACATCCAAATGTTATACCTCTTGCACTGGCTGTCAGAGGAAGCCATGCTTTGTTCGTCCTTTATCCGTCCGCACCTTATACTCTTTCTGTGAGTCTTGTTGCTTCCCTTCCCCGCTTGATTCATTTTGAGTGTTCGGTGTTGCTTGAACTTGCTTTCTCTTCTCCACTTGATGCGTTTTGAGTGTTCACTGTTGCTTGAACTTGCTTCCCTTCCCCATTTGATTCATTTTGAGTGTTCACTGTCGCTTCCTTTCCTGACTTGATTCATTTTGAATGTTGACTGGATACTCGTTTTCTCTTCGACTGTAGTTCGTTCCACGTTACTGATTCGCTGGCTGTCTAGAATGTGATCATATGAGTCTGTGTGTGTTTTTATGGGGAGAGAGAGAGAACCGGGGGGGTGCTGAGCAAGTGGACCTGATGTGGGTTCACATGATCATTAAATCCTGTTGCGGTGACTTTTTCCCCAACTTAATACAGAATGGCGGATGGGGTCCCACCAGCTCAATGCATGTGATGTGCTCCTTCCCCCATCTGTGTTTCTCATGGCCCTCAGCTTCCCATTCCGGGTGCCCAACTTGGAGCTTCCACAGGAGCTCCATTTGGAGATGGTGTTCCAGCTCGATCGGTGGTCCGACCAAGCATTGCTCGCACATAGTAACATTAGAAGGGTGTTGCCGGAAGAAGCTGTCTGATGAGGAGAGGAGAAACACAGTGATCGTAATACAAAGAGGATCTGTGATATTCGTAGGCACATATGCTGTGAACCCCCCACAATTCAACACCCAATCCCGATATGCATGCTCAGAAGATCCACGTGAGAGTTAACATCCGAAAGCCAATGATGAAACTTGAATCAGCGTAACACAACACCGTTCTCCATTATTGTAATATAAAACTGAGAAAGCTCGAGTATTCAGCGGCTTCTGCCTCATTCAACAACAACAGCCTGCGTCCGCTATGTAACCGACACCCCTTCCTCTATTTGCGACTCCCCCCCCTCTCTCTCTCTGACTCCTTGTATCGCTCAACCTCGCTGCTCTCAAGTCTTCGACCCATTCGCCTCACTGCTCTCCCTCTCTCTCTAGGATCCACCCTGAATGCACTCGCTCACTTCGTCTCCAGCCTCGGCGGTTATGGCCGCCTTCTACCTCTACTCAACCCTAGTTATGGTCGTCTCCAAGCGCCATCTCCCTCCTTCTGGCGCATGTCGCCCAAGTCGCACTATTGCACAAGCGACCTGCAGCGCATCCGCAACTTGCGGATGAACAACTGAAGAGTGATGCCACTGTAGCAGCTATATATAGAATGTTTGACTTGTCGGTAGCCTGCCTCGGACCGATACCACTGGCCTCGGCCTGTCTGCTGCATGTTTCTGCGTTCCCAGAAGTCTCTGGACTTTCTGGGGACGCTGCTGCAAATTTGGACTTTGAGACTTTACTTTTGTTGTCGGTGCCCGCAGACATCTACCGACCTGACCAGACTGCAATGCTTCAACCTCCATAGGACCCTACCGACCTTGGGAGTTGACCTACTCTGACCTGGCGGGTCTGGGACCATCTGCAATTGCGCCCAAATTGGACTGGGGACCGGGACTCTGGCGTCGATGGAACGTGAGATACTTTCACTACAGCTGCCTAATTTCGAGGTTTTCCAAGAAAGATTCTACCTTTACCTGTTAATGATGTTGATACCCTTCCTAGCTCGCTCATAGAAGGAGACTATGTTAGGTACTGTCTCTGTTAGTTCATCTCCAATATACCAGCGGTCATCTTCGGGCTCGTGATAAGCGGATTGAACTTTGTATTGATGCCGGGGTCTGCCTCTCCGGTCTGGTCTGTAAACATCCTCATCAATAATTTTGTCAATATCATACCTTCCATCCATATCAGGCAGAGGTATATCGACAGTGTAGGAGGGAGTCTGAGGGACCATCTGGATCAACAATAAGATCAAGGACTTCCCACGATCCTTCCTACTCAGGTAGGAGTTTCTGGGAAATTACTTTCTCGAGGAGGAACTCCTTGGACTTGGCCCAGACTGAGTCACCAACAGCGAACTTCGAAGGCCTGTGATGCTTGTTGGCCTGTTCTCTCATCTGATGCTGACCGTTACTGATGTTCTCAGCCACTCGCCGCAACTCCTCATAGTGTACTGCAAATTCTCTGGTGCGGGTGGTAGTCTCTGAATCTGATCTGGATTCAGGCAATCAATAGGATGTCTGGGACACTAACCCTTGTGCAATGCGTTGGGTGTATAGTTAGTTGCAAGGTGAACTGAGTTTGTTGTAGGCACTAGCTACCTTAGGCAGGTGCTCATCCCAATCTATTTGGTCCGGTCTGATGTACATGCGAAGCACTTGCTGTAGCAGTTTGCTCATCTGTTCGGTCTGTCCGTTAGTCTCTGGGTGTCTGCCTGAAGACATAGTAAGTTTAGACCCATAAATTTCACTAGCTGTTGCCAGTGGTCGCCTGTGAACCTAGTGTCTCTGTGCCCATAGTCTTTAACTCGATGATTGAAAAATTTGCAAATGACTAAATCTGTCCTTGCCTCCGACGACAGCGGAATAAAAACTGTGAATTTACTGAATCTGTCTACAACGACCATAACTTGACTTACGGTTTCACCGTTTCTACTCTTGACCTTGGTATCCATGAAACGGCGGATGGGATAGGCTAGGGGAGGCTGCATGGAACTCCTTTTCCTCTGACATACCTTGCAACCGTGAATATACACTATACAGTCATGTTTCATTCCAACCCAAGAGTAGGACTGTAGGAGGTTATTATAAGTCTTCCTCCACTCGAAGTGGCCTTTGGTATCATGCCAGTCACCTAAGATCAGACTATGTACCTCTTCATTGTGTGGGGGACATAAATTGTCATCGACGTTGGTATCATGACATTCACCTAAGATCAGACTATGTACCTCTTCATTGTGTGGGACACATAAACAGTCATTGACATACAGTCTTTTCAATCAACAGTCAATCATCCATGTGGTAATCCGGGACTTCATGCAGTGTATCTGGTACTTTCCTGCTATAAATCTTATCAGTCGGATAAGCCTTGTTAATCTACTGCTGTAACTTTGTTTCGTCATCTAAGTAAATCACTATAGTTCCAAAGAAGTCTGTGCGTCTCCTTAGCGCATCCGCAATGTCGTTGTGCTCACCTTTGATGGGTTTTAACTCAAAGCAAACTCGTCAATCTCAGTGGCCCACCCAGCTAACTTACTGGACATGCGTGCGAGGGTCTTTGGCCAACACAGTGTCTTGTGATCCGAGTACACTTTAAAGTGTTGTCCTAACAGATAGTGCCGCCAATGCGCTAAAGCCTCCTTCAATGCAGACAGTTCTCTTTCGTAGGTCGAGGCAACAACCTTCTCACACGGTAACCTACGGGACTACGGGACATGAATTCGACGTATATCCTTCTCCATCATTTTGCTGAAGTACAGTTCCAATACCATATTGACTCACGTCCGTAGTGACAATGAAGGGTAGTGATGGGTCAGTTATCTTCAAGACCGGGTAGTCTATCAGGCACTTCTTCAATTTCTTGAACTCAGACATGCAACATTTGTCCCATCTCCAATCAGTTTCCTTCTTCAACAGTCTGCGCAGCAATGCAACTCTAAACGTAAAGTTCGTGACAAACTTCCGGTAATATTTGGCCAGACCTAGGAACGGTCGTAGTTTCATAAGTGTATGCGAGGTTGGCCAATCTCTAATTGCTGCTATATTCTTGTCTTCCCGTTTGACTCCATCTCCATCTACTAGATAAAGGATCTGGCGCTTGGCCCATTCACACTTCTTCGGGTTTAGCCAGAACTTAGCTTCCCGTAGCATGTTCAGAATCAATCGGAGCTGCTCCTGATGCTCCTTCACGGTATTTCCCAAAGATCAAAATGTCATCGAAGTATTCAACAATGAACTTATGTAACCAGTCTCTACTTCATGCATCTTTCAAATGTGGGAGGGGCATTCGTCAACCCAGACGGCATGACCACAACGAGTTGTGGCCATAGCGGTTCCTAAAGGCAGTCTTGTGCTAATCTTCGGGCTGTACCTCTTTTTGATGGCACCCCAGGGTTGCATCCCTGCCGACCGCCGACCCCGACCGCTGACCGTATTGCAGCCGACCAGTAGGACCGACCAGTCAGACGACAACCATCCACGGCTTAAAAAAAAAAAATCGAAGTTGGGGGATGTACTACGCTTGGTGAGGACAGCCCAAATCCGCTGAGAAACTTTTGGGGATTGGGGGGGGGGGGTATGGGGGGGTTGGGGTTGGAGTATAGGGGGAGTACAGGGCGGGTATAGGGGGGTATAACTTTTTTTTTTTTTTTTTTTTTTGCGGGGTACCGGCAACCCTCAACCGGTAGGTGCCAACCAGCCGATCGGTTGGCAGGTCGGCAGCCGACCAGTCAACGACCTCTGGTCGTCGGGGGATGCAACACTGTGGCGCCCTGATTTCAAGTCCATCTTAGAGAAGTACTTACACCCTTGCACCCTGTCCAACAGATCGTCTATCCTATTTGGCGGTTTTGCATTCTTGACAGTAATTGTGTTCCAACCTCTATGGCTGATGCACATCCTAAGTTCGCCTTCTTTCTTAGGACGAATAGGACCGAAGCTCCGTACGGTGAAGAACTTGGCTTTATCTACCCCTTCTTGATCAGTTTGTCTAGCTATTTGCGTAGCTCTTCCAACTCTTTGGGAGACATTCAGTAGATGGGGCCCTGGGGAGTCTTGCTACCGGGTTCCATTTTGATCCTATGCTTGATCTCCCTTTCTACCACACCGGTTGGTGCCTCTCCCACATCAACGAACCTTTCTAACAAGGACTGTGCTTGTGGTGGTGTATCCTCATCCTCTTTCTTTCCCTCACTGACTGGCCTAACATAGGCCTCTGAACTTTATCAACAATATGTTCGTTGACCACATGCCTCGTGAACGCAGGGGCACTCTTACAACATACCGATAGGGCGTAGTGAACTCCAAACTCGTGGAACAATCTAGCTTTCTTCTGCCCACTTTTAGGACTAGGCACCCAGAACTCATGCGCTCCCATCTTCACATCGGCCTTTGCGGCCTTTCCCCAATCAGGCCGTACCTTCTTAACCCGAAAAAAACGTACGTACCTTGTATACGAATACAACGTACGGGGTACGCTGTATTCGAATACAACGTACGTACGTTATAGAACAAGTTGTACCCTGGTCAGGGAGTGCAGTACCTTTTCTACCTTGTCATC